AGAGAGGAGAGAGAGAGAGCAGAGAGAGAGAGACGGAGAGAGAGAGAGAGAGGAGAAAGAAAAGAGAGAGAGAGAAAACTAATAAATCAGATAATCTGGAAAAATAGAAAAGGAAAACAGAAACAAAGAAAGAACGAGAAGAAACGAAACAAACAACATAAGCTAATAACAAAATACAAAGGACACAAGAAGGAAATACATAAACTCTTTCTCCCCCTCCCTCGCCCCCCTTTCCCCCTCTTTGAAACCGAGAATGCGAAAACCCCAACGGCCTGGCTTGCGAACTCCCCCCCCCTCTTCCTTTTCCCTCCCGCCCTCCCGCGCAGTCCAAATAGTGAGAGAGGGAAGTCAATTGTGTTCTCTCTCTCCTTCCTCTCTCTCTCCTTTTGCTCTCCTTTCTCCCATTTTCCTCCTGCCTTCTCTCTCTCTTATTCTCTCTCTCTCCCTCCCGCTCTCTTTCCTCTCTCTCTCTAACACTCATCCCTCTCTCGTTCCCTTTCTCTCCTCAACTTCACTTTCTCTCACTTTCCCCCTCTTTCTCTCTTTCTATCAATACACTCCTCTCCCTCTCGCCCATCTCTCTCTCCCTCCTCTTCCCCTCTCTCTCTTCTCATCTCCTCTGACACCTTCTCTTCCCCACCTCTCTCCCCTGCTCTCTCCCTCCACACCTCCTCTCCTCTCATCCCCCTCTTCCCTCCCGTCCTCTCACCTCGCCTCCTCCTCATCCCTCTCTCCTCGCCTCTCTCTCCCTTTCTTCTTTTTCTCTTTCTCATCACCTCTCTAGCGACTTACTTCTCGGCCCTCAACAACCCTGATTATCTTTCCCCTCTTCTTCTCGTCTGTGACCTTCTTGGGCCTTCTCTCTTTCCCTTCTCTCTCTGTCTCTCTCTCTCTCTCCTCCTCATTTTCGCGTCATTCTCTCTCTCTCTGCTGTTCTCTCTCCTCTCTCCTCTCTCGTCTCTCATCTCTTATTTCCCTCCCTGCCCCATCTCTCTGTTTCTCTCTTTCCTCCTCTCCTCCTGCCCCATCTCTCTCCAACTCTCTCGTCCTTTCCCCCTCCCTCTCCCCTTCCCCTCTCTCCCTCTCTCTCTGACCTTTCTTCTTTGGGCGCCGCGAGTTCGTGGTGGGAAGCCTCGGAGTGAGAGAAAAGATCCGCTCGAGAGACTTTGAGCGAAAGAAAAGTGGGAGGAAGTTAAGGTCTCGCTGTTTTGTTTTTTTTTTTTTCTTTTCGTTTTTTCTCGTTTTCTTTCGGTCACTTGGTATCGCTCTAAAGAGTTTTATTTTTATCGAAGCGGGGAGATGTGATTGAAAGAAGAAGGGAAGGATACACCCAACACACGAATATATACATATATATATATAATATTATAATTATATATATATAAATATATAAATATAATATACTTTATATATATATAATTATATATTATATATATATATATATATATATTATGATATATTATATATATATATATATATATATATACTATATATTATATAATAGTATATATATACTTATATATATAATTTATATATATATATATATATATATATATATATATATATATATATATAAATATATAATATTATAAATATATATTAGTATATATAATATTATTATATTATTATATATATATATATATATATCTAATATAATATAATATGTTATAATTATAATATACTTATTATTATTATAACTCATATACAACACGCTCAACCCAGCACACAGATACGGATATATTATATATATACTATATATATCATATAATATATATATATATTTAATATATATATATATATATATATTATGTGTGTGTGTGTTGTGTGGTGTGTGTGTGTGTTAAGTATGTATTATATAAGAATATAATTAACAGACAGAAAATTCTCGAGTGATAGTGGAGAGTCAAGAAACTTGGATGGTATAGAGTGCTATCGAGGTGGAAGCGGTGGCGGGCTGGTATATTGTTGCTGGTGTTTGTCAGCCCCTTACTGCCCCACGTCCAATTTATTTTCTTCCGACAAAGAAGAACGTAGAATTAAGAATGGAGATAGGAAGCAGAAGAAGAGAAGAAAAGATCGCAAGAAATTCTCCCTTTTTTTCTCTTGATTTTCTTCTCTCTTTCTTGAGCGTTTAAGGAACTCCCTCAAGGACGGACTCGGGTGAAAGGCAACAGGTTTGTCCTTACTTGGTGACCGTCTTGCTCATCCTGCATCCAGACCATCGCACGGCTTGCAGAAACAGGGGTACAAACCATGAAGCTTTCTTATCTGCTGTGAGAATTTTTTTGTAAGTTCCATCTGTTGATTATACATTGCTAAATTTGTCCTTTCACGAAACTGGGAACGATAAAGTCAGTCACTGTGTTCTGTATATTCTAGGTTATGTTTTGCCTGTGTTTTGGTTTGTTTTGTTTGTGTTTGGTTGGTGTGAAAGGAGAAAAAGAAGAAGAGAAAGAGAATACGGAGGAGAGAAAGGAATAGAGAGAGGAGAGAGAGAGAGGAGTAGAGCAGAGAGAGAGAGAGAGAGAGGGAGAAGAGAAGAGAGGGAAGAGGAGAGGAAGAGAAGGAGAAGAGAGAAAGAGAGAGAGGAGAGAGTAGAGATGAGGAAGAGAGAGATAAGAGAGAGAGAGAGAGAGAGAGAGAGAGAGAGAGAAGAGAGAGGAGAGAGAGAGAGAGAGAGGAGAGAGAGAGAGAGAGAGAGACGAGGCATGTATGTAGGCATGCACATATGGATTACATATGTATATATGTATGTAAGTAAATATAAAAGTATGTATGTATGTATGTTACAGTCATTGTTTTAAAAAGGGCATTTATGATTGGCTATTCATTCCATACCTTCAAAAATCATTTGGGAATTGCAGATCATTTGCAAAGTAACTGAATCTGTGGTTTATAGCTTGAGAGTATCAAGGTTGGTCGAGCTGCTTACCGTGATATAAGCAATGGTAATAATGGTAATAATAGCAACAGTAACGCTTATTGATGAAAATAAACCTGTTGATAACAATGGAAATGATGATGATGATAATATTAATGATGATATAATGTTAAAATAATGAGAGCAATAATAATCATATTGATAGTAATAAATAATAATGATAATGATATATAATAATAATATAAACACAATAATATTAATAATATACGATGATAATAATCATATTGATTTCAAATTCAATGATACTACAACTACGACTGCTTGTATGATAATAATGTGATATAATGATAATGACAATTATAATGATTGATAAACAGTGAATAATAATAACAATAATAACGCAAATGCTATTGGAAGAAATACTGATAATATAATCAATATAAATAATAAAACAAAAATAATAACCATAATATAAATGGCTGAGCAGATAAAACATACAGTCCATACACGAAAATCTATTACTTTCCTCATACCAACAATCAACAACATCGACCCAGAAAACAACACCATAACAGACCAACAACAAACCAATAACATAAAAACCCCATCAACCACACACAACCCCGCCCCACGCGACCCCACCCACACCCAAGCCTACAAAACCCCACAACCTACCCACATACAAATCACAGCACAGACTCACAACATACCCCGACTCAGGACGTAATCTAACTTTTATTCAACGTAGAAAAAACAACAACAACACGTTGGACGCTAATTAAAGCTTTCCATTATTGCGCTGTGCTTCTCAGGCGCCATGGCTCCGGAGAATGCATTGTTCGGGTCAGCTGAGAGCACGGCGGAGTGAGTGAGTTATTAAACGTGAGAAGATTGTGTAGAAGGTGATATCTGCTTTGTTAGCATATTTACATGTATATATATATATATATATATTATTAATATATATTATTAATATATATATATATATATATATAATTATATATAATAATATATATAGTTATAAACACACACACAACACACACACACCACACATAATCACAGAGAGAGAGAGAGAGAGAGGAGAGAGAGAAGAGAGAGAGAGAGAGAGAGAGAGAGAGAGGAGAGAGAGAGAGAGAGAGAGAGCGAGAGAGAAGAGAGCAGAGAGAGAGGAGGAGAGAGAGGGAGAGAGAAAAAGAGAAGACAAGAAGAAAGAGAAGAGAGCAGAGAGAGAGAGAGAGAGAGAGAGAAGAGAGAGATAGAGAGAGAGAGAGAAGAGAAAGAGAAGAAAGAGAGAGAGAGAGAGAGAGAGAGGAGAGAGAGAGAAAGAGAGAGGGGAGAGAGAGAGAGAGAGAGAGAGAGAGAGGTAGGAAATGTCAAACAAAATTACAAACAGAAAAGAAAGAAGAAAGGCAGAAAGAAGAGAAAGGAAAATAAGAGGAGAGAGAGGAGAGAGGAAGATAAGAGAGAGAGTGGAGGGAATAAAAGAGAGAGAGAGGAGAGAGAGAAGGACGGAAGAGAAGAGGAGGAGAGAGAGGAAAGACGGGAGGGATAGGGAAGGAGATTTTAGAGGTAGAGAGAGCGAAGAGAGAGAAGCAGGCCGCGACGAGGAAGGAGAAGGAGAGATAGAGAGAGAGAGAAGAAAAAGAAAGAAAAAAAGACAAGAAAAAAAGAAAGAAAGAAGAAGGAGAGAAGGATAGAGAAGAGAAGNCTCTCTCTCTCTCTCTCTCTCTCACTCTCTCTCTCTCCTCTCACTCTCTCTCTCTTCTCTCTCTCTCCTCTCTCTCTCTCTCTCTCTCTCTCTCTCTCTCTCTCTCTCTCTCTCTCTCTCTCTCTCTCTCTCTCTCTCTCTTCTCTCTCTCTGTCTCTCTCTCTCTTTCTCTCTCCACTCTCTCACTCAGATAAAGGATCAGCATTAAATTTTGTTATACTATATCTCTGCATACACACTTACCAGTAAAACACGGTTCTGAGTTGGTGGATTATACATCTATTGTGTATTCATCTATGTGTAGAGACATTCCACAAAACAATACTCCTGCGATTGCTAAGTTTTCCCTTTGACATGAGGTTAAGGCTCACTGATTTCATGCGAGCATTCTATTTACTCCAAAATGATCAA